TGTACTAGTAAACTAAATAGGTAAAACTCTCTCCCCCTGTGTAGTTTATATTCTGGTGGAAGGAAACAGACAATAAACATAATAAGTAAGTGAAATACATAGTGTTTCAGTGTTTTGTTACATATGGCTGCATAGCAAATTACCCCAAAACTTAGTGGTATAAAACAATTATTTATTATGCTCACAGATTCTGTGGGTGGGAATTTGGACAGGTACAGGGAGCCAGTTTGCCTCTGCTCCACTTGCCCCTGGGCCCGCGGCGGGAAGATGGAAAGGCTGGTGGTGGATGCTGGCTATCAGCTGGAGGGAGGTATCAGTTTCCTCCCTGTGTGATCTCTTCCCATGGGCGGTTATTGGCTTTCTCACAACATGGTCAGAACCAGACGAAAACCATCTTTGTTTTAATGATCAAGCCTCAGAAGTCATGGAGCATCATTTCCCCTGCATTCTATTCATTGAGGCATCTAAGTCCTGTCCAGATTCAAGGGGAAGAGAAATAGACTCAGCCTCTTGATGGAGAAAAGCAATGTTCTGGAAAAGCACATGGACTAAAAATACTGGTGTAACCATTTTGAAAATTAGCCTGCAACATATGGTATGTTAGCAAGTGATAAATTATGTGCAAGTACAAATGGAGTAGGGTAAAGGGGGGTAAGGACTGCCAGGGAGCGGGGTAAGGGAGTGCAGATGGAAATTTTAACTAGGCATCATTGAACAAAGATTTGAAGGAGATTAGGGTGTTATTATGTGGATATCTGGGAAAAGATATTCCAGGCAAACAGCCAATACACTGACCCTAAGACCAGGGGAATCCTGGTGTGTTTGAGGAACACTCAAGGAGGCCCATGTAGCTGGAATGGAATGAGCAAAGGGGAGAGTGGTAGGAGTGAGATCAGAGATCTGCGTGCGCCAGACATGTTGCCTTATAGGCCATTGTGAAAACAAGCAAACAACTTTGACTTTTATTCTGAATAAAATTAGGAGCCATTGGAGGGTTTTAAATAGAAATGACATTATGCCTATGTATACAGTTTTATTCTTAACGTAATTTCATGGCTCTTACAATGGTTGGATAAAGTGCTAAATGTTTTGAAATATAAAAATGATACTGAAAGTCTTAGATCACCCTTAAATTTTATGGTTGGTACCTAAATAATTAGTTTGAATATAGCTTAACACCTGAATTTCATGGAACTTTTAGGGAACCAGCACTTAAGCAAACCCTTAAATAGAGTTAGGAATAGACTGTATAAGAAAAGTAATACCTAAAAGCTTTTTGTATTAAATTATAAACCAATAGAAGGAAAAATTAGTTTGAAAGCATATACAGGGTGGAGCAAAAGTAGGTTTTCAGTTGTGCATATGGAAAATTAGTATAATAATTAGTAAATAATAATATAAGAATAAACTTACGTACTTACAACTATAAACCTACTTTGCCCCACACTGTACATTTAAATACTCAAAGCTTACAATGTATAGAACATTCATTCTGCCTGTGATTTATAAAAGTCTTAAGTAAAATATGATTGGGGTAATGGACTTACAAAATGGTGGAGGAGCATGAAGAATTAACTCCCCAAGAAACAAAATTCGACAGAACTGTCAAAAGTTATTCTTTTAGTACTGTGGAACTCACGCAGAAGCAAACAACACATTGAGAAGTATTTATTAAAAACTGCTCAACTTTGGGTAGGAGCTATAGTTGTCTGAGGCAATGTGACTTCTCCCATTCTCATTCCCTCTTCCTCTTCTAGTTTCAGTACCCGGTAGTTCTGCCTGGGTGCAGGGCAATCCATGAAAAGCAGCACCTTTGCTACTGGAGGGGACTGGCTTGATTTGAGCAGAGCACAGAAAAGCCCCAGGCCCAGGAGCGCTGTCAAAGGCCAACTCTCAGATAGCCTGAGGTTGGAATATTGGTTGGGACAAAGTAACAGATCAGCAAACTCGTCATAAGTTTTACTGTGAGATCCAAGCAATGAGACAGTCAGCCATAGTGGGTCTTGATAATGTCCCACATGTCACTAGTGGTCTGGAAGGCTGCCTAGGAGAGACCAGAAAAGTCCTTTGCTACCTGCTTAACCCTGGCTGATTGTCCCAACTTCAGATGTTAACCCTTGGCTATGGGCTAAGTCACATAACGTAATTTGGAGACAGTGAAAAAATGAATCTGTATCTTTGTGGGAAGGGATAGTGACTGGAAGAGAGCACAATGAGTGTTTTTGGAATATAATTAATTTGCTGCTTCTTGCTAGGGGTGCTGGTTTCACACATGTTCACTTTGAAGATTTTTTAAAATTGATTTTGAGAGAGAGAGAGAGAGAGAGAGAGACATCAATGCAAGAGCTGAACATATATCGGCTGCCCCATACACGCCCCCTACCAGGGACCATGCCTCAACCACCCTGGCATGTGCCCCAACTGGGAATCGAACCCGCAACCCTTTGTTGCACAGGACGACACCCAACCAACTGAGCTACACTGGCCAGGGCCATGTGTTTACTGTAATGCTTCATTGAGCTTTATATACACTTAAAATTTTTTTTTCCTATATATATGTTTTAACCAATGTTGGTTGACATGATAATGCTGTATAACAATAATAATGGAGAGTTAACATTTATTTTTGCTCATGAGTCTATGGGTCAGTTGAGCAGATGTGCTGATCCATGAATTGCTGTGTAGGCCAAGATCAGTTGATCATAGTCGGGCTTGCTTCTGCATCTGCGGGTATCTGGCATGTACTCTGAAGGCTGGCTGGTGTAGGGGGGTCCCAGCTAGCATAACTTCACTGTTTACTCAGTCTCTCATCCTCCAGCAGGCACATAAGCCTCTTGAGGTCTGGGCTTGGAACTGTCACACAATCACTTCCATCTCCTTCTCTTGGCCAAAGGCATTCCAAATACGAGAAGAGAGAAAATAGATTCCTTTTTTTGATGGGAAGAGTGAGAAGTCACATTGTAAGAGGATATACGTATAGGGAGGAGGATAACTGGATTCAATTTTGCAATGAATCTGCCACATGTTATATTTCAATTTAATAATATATAGATAAATGAAAGAAACTTAGCACAATATTGGCAGTTGTTAGATCTAGATGACTGTTTATGGATATTCATAAATAGCTTTTCTATAGGTTTTATTTATTGATTTGAGAGAGAAGAAGGGAAGAGAGAGAGACACACACACACACACACACAGACATCGATTTGTCCCACTTATTTATGCATTCATTGGTTGATTCTTGTATGTGCCCTGACCAGGATCGAACCTGCAACCTTGGCATGTCGAGATGATGTTCTAATCAACTGACCTATCCAGCTAGGGCCTTGAGAATTTTTTACATGTTTGTTTTCTTTATCTTATTTTTTTGGAGGAAAGATTATTGTTGGCATATATTTTTAAAAAAATACATATCTCTGGGTCTACTCCCGATCTGCTGAATTCAAATGCTAGCACCCAGAAATCTACATTTTAAAAAATACACTTTATAAGTGATGTTAAATTTTGAGAATCACTACTGTGGGCTTTCTGATTTCTATTGGAACCACTGGCCCAACTAAAGCATATTTCCTTCCAATTTCCATTAAGAAAAAGCAGCCCAATGCTGCTGGTAGCCCAACTACGAGTAACATGAGCTAGCAATACCAATCATTGACAAGATTACCTGCCTCCTTTGTTCAAGCCACAAAAAGTATATAGCAACTTATAAGGTTCCTTGAAAACAGTGGTTGAAGGAAGAAGGAGGTTTATTAAGTATCTGTTGGGTGCCATAGGCATGACACCAGGTACTTTACATGTATTATTTAATCTTTGCAAAAATCTTACAGGATGGGATTATCCTCATTTTATAGATGAGGTCATTGAAGCTCAGAGAATTAACTAACTTGTTCAGTGTTTCATAGCTACTTAAAAGGCCAGAGATTTGAATCTAGCTTTCAGAATATAAGTTAAACAATTTTTAAGAAAGCAGTGTTTTTGGAACTAACTAATTTATGATAAGCCCAATGTTTGTGAGAATTATGAAAACATAGATGTATAGCACATAACCCAGTTCTTTAGCTGTCATTATTACTAAACTAATCACTCACATTCTGACCAAAGTGTGACCATCTAATTGTTCAAATAGCAGGAGATAGAAATCTGTGAAGTACTCTATTTTTCAGATGTTTTGGGTGATTTATGTTAAATGTAAATGTTGATATTTTAAAAAATAACTGTGTTTCAACAGTTGCTAAGCCAACTTAAAGGAAATTTAGAAGAAGAAAATCGGCATCTACTAGATCAAATCCAGACATTAATGCTGCAGAACAGAACACTGTTGGAGCAGAATATGGAAAGCAAGGATCTTTTTCATGTTGAACAAAGACAGTACATGTAGGTACCAAATAATTTTGCATTGTGAAATATTAGTTATGATTTTATAATTGCAATTTCTGGTGGCAGAGAAAACAATCTAATTTTTTTTGGCTTGCAACATTATTTCAACATATATTTTTGAATGCTTATGTCTCAGGTTCTATGCTGATAACTAGAAATACTAACATGAAAACATGGGTACTGCTCTTAAGGAACTAGTAATATAACGCGAGAAATACAAATAATTGCCATAATGGAGGTATGTGTAGGAGGCCATAGAAATATAACTGTACAAAATATGATGTATGTTCTAAAATTTAATTTTTATTTCTATAGTGATAAGTTAAATGAATTAAGACGACAAAAGGAGAAATTAGAAGAGAAAATTATGGATCAATACAAATTTTATGAGCCATCTCCTCCTAGAAGGTACTATTAACCAAGATTTACTCATTTTTATTCTGAAAAAATAACAGAATATTTTAAACTTCTAATTTTGTGGATTTATTTTAGACTAATAAGAACTTTTTAAATTATTCTATCAGGAGAGGCAACTGGATTACTCTAAAAATGAGAAAATTGATAAAGTCTAAGAAAGATATTAATCGGGAACGTCAGAAATCTCTAACATTAACACCTACCCGCTCCGACTCCGGTGAAGGATTTCTTCAACTCCCCCATCAAGATAGTCAAGATAGTTCTTCCGTGGGTTCAAACTCCTTAGAAGATGGCCAAACTTTGGGGACCAAGAAAAGCAGCAGTGAGTGCTTAAACTCTTTAAACATTTGTTATGTCTAGTATTGATTTAGAATCCTTTCTAAAAGATTTTTTTAAAATAACTTCAACACTCCTTTGAGATAATAGTCTTAATTAATGCATTTCTTTTTAACTCTATATAATTATAAAATTCATTACATACTACAATAATACATAACTACATGATTTTCTGTATTGTGTGTGTAAAGATATTCCATACACAGGGATACCAGCATTTGGCCAGGGAGGTAAAACAGTGTAGAAAGAACATTGAAATAAGAGCCAGAAACCTCTGCCATTTGCTAGTTCTGTTAATATGGGCAAGTGTTTCACCTTTGGGTCATACTTACCAGGGTGATTATGAGGAGCAAGTGAGAAATATTTATAAGAGCTCATTTTCATAATTAGAATAGAATAAGTCATTTTATAATGAGGTTTTACTCATACTTTTGTATCAAATTGGAACAAAGTTACACTGGGCAAAGCAAAGAAATAGGTATAAATTTGAAGAGAATGCTATTTAAAGATTTAGAAATAATTGATAGTTATGAAAAGTATTGAGTGACTGATAAAGGATTGGTTAAAATAGGGGAGGAGATATAAATTTGTGTATAAACTTGTGATTTAATATTTTTTGTCTTTTTGTTAATCCTCACCCGAGGATATTTTTCCATTGATCTTTTAGAGAGAGTGGAAGAGAGAAATACAGAAAGAAACATAGATGTGAGAGATGCATATTGATTGGTTGCCTCCTGTATGTGCCCTTGACCAGAATCGAACCCGGGACCCTTCGATCTGCAGGCCGACACTCTATTCACTGAACCGAACCAGCTAAGGCTGATTTATTATTTTTAAATACAAATACAGAAGTTCACATCATAATGTGCCCTATATAATTCATAATCTTTTCATTTCATTACTAGTGTGCTTAGCTAAACAGGAAGAACAGAGTAAACGGCTAAAGAAGTGCATTTTAAGAGAAAGAGAAAAGAATCCAATCCTGGGCCCTTAGAAGATGTCCAAGAAGTTGACTATCAGTATTCTTATAAAATATAGTATTTTCTTATAAAAATTGAGTATACTTCGAATCTACTCAATCACCAGAGTCATTAAATTTTCAGTATTCTTATAAAATATAGTATTTTCTTATAAAAATTGAGTATACTATAGCAGGCAAAAACAGCTACTACTTCCCTTAGAGGTAGACACTCCATATGGGTAACTTTCAAAAAACTATAGACAGTGTTTTGGCCTTGGGAATTACCTTTGAAAGGCAGTATTTTCAGGTGTAGGAGATTGGACATTCATTATAGGGTATATTTTAGAATGCAACTGTAGCACCTAAGAACTAGAATCCATAATCAAGCAGCAAATCATATACATACATATGTACATATTCATGCATACACACACGTGTGTGTGTATTTATATAGTAGGCTCAAGAAATTTGTTTAATTCTGTGTCCCCACATAAGAATATTATTACCTGGGTCTTTTGCTATCTAGTCTTTTCACCCAAATCTGCATGAAACGTCTGAGTATTGTAGAAAGATCATCAAGTTTTCTTCAAATGTTTCCAGATAATTTACTTTTATCTCTATCTTTAGATATAAAAATCTGACATTTTGTTAAATGAGAAATGGTAGTAGATATACTTAATTTTTTTAATTAAAGGAAGATATTTCAATTCAGATATGAGAGCCTACACAAGAAAGGCATGACAGTCTTTTCTGAGACCATCTTGTTTGTTTTAAGTACAGGATGGGGCAAAAGTAAGTTTACAGTTGTATGAGTTTATTCTTGTATTATTATTTTTATTGTATATTTTCCATGCAAACAACTGTAAACTTATTTTTGTCCTACCCGTCATTCCTTCATACTCTCTGCTGAAACCTTCAAAATAAGAATCAAAAGGAAGTAATATTCTCTTTTCCTGCAATTGTTCAGTTTTAGAATTTTTTTAAAAATACATTTTTATTGATTCTTTTTTACAGAGAGGAAGGGAGAGGGATAGTTAGAAACATCGATGAGAGAGAAACATTGATCAACTGCCTCCTGCACACCTCCTACTGGGGATGTGCCCACAACCAAGGTACATGCCCTCAACCGGAATCGAAACCGGGACCTTTCAGTCTGCAGGCCGACGCTCTATCCAGTGAGCCAAACCAGTCAGGGCTCGAATTTTTTAAATAAACACAAAATCCAACAATGCTAATGTTCCCTTAATTTCAGTATGGTTTTGGGGGGGAAAAACGTTGTGTATCTAAAAACTAATTGCCATAACAAAGATCACATTCTACCACTGGCAAATTTGAAACTCCTGTGGTCCTCTCCCTTTTGTAAGAGTGTCAGTTAAGCAGTCTTTGGAAAACAGTTGAAACAGAAAAAGAACGTAAAGACAACATGTGCATGTTGCAACCATTCAGCTTTTGTCAGTAAAGCAGTCTTTGGAAAACAGTTGAAACAGAAAAAGAAAGTAAAGACAACATGTGCATGTTGCAACCATTCAGCTTTGGTTTAGCTAAGTGTCCATTTTTACATTGTTTTCAGTTCATTTATTTTAATCATTGAAAGTAATTGTTCTATACGAAGCTAGAAAAGAAATAGGTCAAATTAAAAGCTTAAATGAATCATGACTATGTTTTCCTAATAGCAATCAAATATATGTTAAAAAGCTGTATGTACATTCTCCTTAATGAATGATTCTTGTCAGTGTGTCAAAGAGCTTTGATTATTTACAAGACAATGGTAAACCCTGAGAAAGAGCGTAGTTATTAGGGCTGTGTACAGTGTTTTTAAGTCTATGCAAGTTGATTCATTAGTGCCTGAATTGTAGTTCCAAAATAAATACAGTTTTTGTATTTACTTACTTTTTTTTTTTTTTTACTTATTTTTAAAAAGTTTAATCCTCACCCAAGGATATATTTTTTGTTTTTAATATATTTTATTTATTTCAGCGAGGAATGGGAGAGGTAGAGAGAGATAGAAACATCAATGATGAGAGAGAATCATTGATCGGCTGCCTCCTGCATGCTCCTATGGGGGATCGAGCCTGCAACCAGGACATGTGCCCTGACTGGGAATCAAACCGTGACCCCCCCTATTTCATAGGTCGACGCTTAACCACTGAGCTATGCCGGCCAGGCGATGTGTTTTGTTTTAATTGATTTTGAGAGACAGAGAGAGAAACGTCAATCGGTTGCCTCCCATATGTGCCCCAACTGGGGATTGAACCAAGGGGTGTGCCCTGATCCTAGGAATGGAACCCTCAACCTCTTGGTGTATGGGATGACGCTCGAACCAACTGAGCCACCCAGCCGGGGCTTTTTGTATTTAAATCTTATTAAAATATAGTTTAGCAAGATGTAGTTCAGTGATTGAGCATTGACCCATAAACCAGGAAGTCACAGTTCGATTCCCAGTCAGGGCACATGCCCCGGTTGTGGGCTCATTCCCCAGTAGGGAGTGTGCAGGAGGCAGCTGATCAATGGTTCTGTTTCATCATTAATGTTTATATCTCTCTCACTCTCCCTTCGTCTCCGAAATCAATAAAAATATATTTAGAAAAAATATATATATATAGTGTAGTTTAAGAAAGTTAGTGACTCTAGTGAACATTTTTATTTTTGTACTAATGACTCCTCATTTACATTCACAAAATCTTCTTGCACAGTACTATCTTAGATTTTTTTAATAACCTCACTGAAAAAACCCTTCAAAATAAATACCTAAAAATGTAATATACACTTTTTTGGGGTCAGTTTTGCTTGCTTTAGGATGCCTTCATATCTTTTAGCCTTATCAGGACTTAGTGTTAGCACTTACTACTGTCAAAATACTTTTTTCTCTTTCCCCAGACAACTTTTTGGTAAAATGAAGTTTAATGTAATTGCTCATTTCATCTTTTGAAAGACTGTTCAAAGAATATATATTTCCATCGTGCTACTACATATTGCACCAAGAAGCAATTTGCTATTTCTTTATTAAAGTTTAAGAAAGTATTGAAAATTTTTAATGAAAGTTTTAAAAGCTTTAGATTGTTTAAAACATCCCATAGGCACTTTAGTTTTTGGTGATGTGTATTACTAAAATACTCTTAAGTGCATATGCTTAAATTACTTTTTCCGTAAAGCCTTATAATTTAAAAAATTAAAGAAAATAGAGGATTGAAAAGCCTTGTACATTTTTAGCACGTATACTCTGTGTCCCACCAATAGTTCTAATTTTAAAGGTATACATTTACAACTTAACTAGGAAACTTGTTCCATAAGTAATTCTAACCAGTTCCTGTATTTATAGGACTTTAGCTAATCCAAGCTTTCAAAGTATATGTTCCTCATCATTGTCTTCAGTGCCATTCCAAGTATTTTAAAGTATCAGAGTGCTTATTTCATATTTCATTATCACTCAGCAGCACGAGAATAATAACTTTAATATAGCATACATAAGCTGAAACTCAGACATTCATTTCTGTCCTTAATTTCAACATTTAACTCCCATCTGTTCTTCTCCCTTTTTTCTGTTTCATTTTTCTGTTTCTGTTTTTCCTCATGCTCTGACATTAAAGTGGTTGCACTGAAAAGACTGCCCTTTTTGAGGAACAGACCGAAGGATAAAGACAAAATGAAGGCCTGCTACCGTCGTTCCATGTGTAAGACTTTATGACAGTTCAGCTTCTTTCAGTTGACTACATTGGCTTCCATTACTAATTTTCACTAACCTTTCTCTGGACTGTGCCAATTTTCTTATTTTACAAAGTGCAGTCTTCCTCTAATACAAGGAGCTGGAAGAATTTTTTTTTTCAAAACTGGCACTGAATTTGCATTATATGTATGTTCACTGATACATACATATACATGCATATGTATAGTTGTACGTGTAATAATATACTTGTAAATTTCCAGTGCTTTCTAAAAATTGGCAGAAATAAAACCCTAATTTTATGCCATTAGAGATTTTTTCCCAAAGAAATTTACTTAAAGAAAATACAACAGAATGTTTAGCAATAGACATTTATTTCCTTAATGAACTAGATTAAATAAATAAATAAAATGGCCTGTAACCCTTAAAAATGTTTGTCATTCTTTATATAATAATACTCTGGTTTTCCTTTTTTTTTTTTAAGTGGAATGGGTAATTACATAATCACATTAAATGTCTGTCACTTTGACTATCGTCTCTTTCAGGTTTTTATTAATGGTATACTTATTTGGTTGATAAAATGAATAATTCCTTCAGTAACCTGCTCTGACCAAGGACTCTTTATCATTTTCAGTAATGATGCTGTATAAGAACTGCTCTCCATCTTACCTTTATTCATTCCATTTTTGTCACCACAAAACCACATTATGAAGGCTTCTAATTATATTGCACATCACTGCGCAAAAGCATGGCAGTTGTACAGAGTAAAATTCCTTTTCCCATCTTTAAATGGGGTGGAGATGGGATAAAAATATTTACTGAAATTTATTAGCCTTTGGCCTATTCATTTCATTGAGCTGAATGCATGTCATAATTTGAATGACATTGTGGTTACAGTTTTTTGTTTTCACTTGCATTAATCCATAGGGAAAAACCCCCAGATCATTTATAAGACAAAAGAGAAATAAGAGCAAGAACATTAACCGTGCTGATTCATTTGCTTTCATTTGCATCCCAGCCATGAATGACCTGGTGCAGTCCATGGTCCTAGCAGGAGGACAGTGGACAGGTAGTACTGAGAATTTGGAGGTTCCGGATGATATTTCAACGGGTAAAAGGAGAAAAGAATTGGGAGCTATGGCCTTCTCTACTACAGCTATCAACTTTTCAACTGTCAACTCTTCTACAGGCTTCAGATCCAAGCAGTTGGTTAATAATAAAGGTATAGGCCGTCTGCTATTTGCACTGTTGTGGAACTGTTGGCAACAGAAATTTTAATTTGACTTTCCCATGTGTATTTTTTGACAGCAGCAAACGGAAATAATTATCAAAACGATCTGGCTTTGATTGGAGGGAATTTTCAAAGCATTTCAAAAAATTTAAGACCTAAAATAACTAAAAGTTTTTCCTAAGCTTTTGATAATAAACAGCTAATGAACTGACAAGAAAAGAAAAAGTAATGGAAGTAAAGTTTGAGAAAAGGAGAGAATAATAGAAGCTTAAAAAAAACACACACCTGAAAACACTATGACTTCAAACAGAGAAAAAAAAAAACATGTAGAACAACCGAGGCTCTTGCTTTGCAGGGTCAGGGAGACTGTTCTATTGGCGAGTAAACTCGTCAGAGCTATTCTTTTTCTTGCTCCAGTTCCAGTTTTTTGTTGAGTCTAGAAATATATTAAATAGAGATGTACTATATGTAATTGAAAAAGAGTTTCCATATTCTGAGTAAATTAAATTTTACAATGTTTTTTTGTTGTTGTTAAGAAATACTTTTATATCTATTTTGCTATTTTATGTAGATGCTACATCCTTTGAAGATATAAGTCCACAAGGTATTAGTGATGATTCTAGTACGGGATCAAGAGTTCATGGTAAGATAAGAACTTTATGTAGAGGGTACTTATTAACTATAGAATGTTGCATTGAATCTAAATGTGCATTGCCAGCAAGGATGTTTTATCTAACCTGCACCTCATACCTCTGCCATTTCTTCAAACCTAATACTCCCCTTTGCCCCTTTTAAGGATACTGCTTCATCTGAATAGTCTCTGTTTTAGTCAAGGTCATTTATAAAGTATTCCTGCACAATGATTAAAGGTAATTTTGTTGCCATTTTGGTATAAGTTTAAAAGTTCTGAATTTTTACCATATTTACTCTAAGAAAATATAAACTTTAAGAAACCATATTCTGCAGAAGCATCGAACAGACTGTCAAATTACAGCAGGAAGGCTGGGGAGTGTTGGGGGGGGGCGGTAAGAGATCAATCGAGGGACTTATATGCATGCATATAATCATAACCAATGGACACAAGACACTGGGGGGGGTGGATAAGGGCATGTGCGGGGAGGGGGGCGTAGAGGAGGCTAGGGGAAGGTCAATGTGGAAAAAAATGAGACATATGTACTACTATTTGTAATACTTTAAACAAGAAAATTTAAAAAAAAAACATTCTGCAATGTCAAGCATTCAGGTTTTTAAATTTCTATCTGGAAAATCATATCTTACCAAACTAAATTATTAACAATAAGTGGATAACATGTAAAAGGAATTTCATATGAAAGCAGGCTTTTAAGAAATAGGATAGGGCCATGTTAACTGTGCAGTTGTTTCCCTTCTATGGATAGGAATACAAAACATTAACTGCAGATACTCATATTCCTCCTGTTTGTGGCATCTCTGCAATGTGCAGGGTTCTTTGTCTGATCTGTTGTAAGTGACCTAATCACTAGCACCTTTTTTTGGCATGTCACTCTATTAATCTAAAATAGTCCTAGTATCCTTCTAGAAATCATATTCAAATCTAATATGCAATTTATCTTCTTTTCTTTAAATTTCAACAATTGTTTCAGACGTGCCCTGTATTACTAAACTATGTGGTAATGTCTTTGCTCTCTAATGTATACGATTCAGCTGTCGGTGGGCATGCTCGGTGTGTGCAAGTATGCATGATTACTTCCTCAAAGCATTCTGTGATCAGAATGTAAAGTTCAGTGTCAGCAGCTGGAAGTTTTATCACACTGTCTCCTGATGTTTTCATTTAGCTTCGAGACCAGCCAGCCTGGATAGTGGCAGGACATCCACTAGCAATAGCAATAATAATGCTTCACTCCATGAAGTCAAAGGTATGCTGTAGGTAAATTTATTAATATGTTCATCCATTTCCACATTTAAAAGGGAGATGGATGAAGTTTCTAGGGTAAAGTGTGAAATCCAAATCATCTGTTTGGAACATAGTTCCTTGGAATATTTTATACTTTCAACATTGTAATACAAATGTATTTCAATGTATATAAATGTAAAAACAGGAGCAGTTATTTTGGTTTCCATTTTTTATCTTTCACAGGTAAAATATTTTTATTATAATTTATACTTCAAAAATATCTGTAGTTCTTATTTTACTTATGTTTTATCTTTCTCATTAACATGGTTGTCCTTAACTTTTTCATGATGCATGCACATTGAACTCACAGAAGGAGTTTTACATACACAAAACTTATCCACGAAATAGGGGGAAATATATTTTTTAATTTGATAAGGCAATTGTGTGTATATATGTGAAACAAGAGCCAAGTGGATGCATATAGCTCATCTAAGAATTATTTCAAATTTTTTTCCTTAGTTTTTAAATATACATTCCAGGTAAGGCTGTTATGTAATGTCTGTCTGGAAGCCTTGACTAATACCTTTTTCCTTAAAGGTATACTGCCTACTCAGATTCTGGAATTGTTTAATAGATTATAAAAGTGTTAAAATACTATTCTGTACAGTCCAGAATTGCCAACTTAGAGTCAATGCATTTGTTCCATTGCTCTTTGCATTATAAAATCCTTTTGTCTCCATTTCAGTTTATTTTTATCATTAATGCTATGACTTTTTTGCTATGATTTGAAAAAAAGGGATTTTTAAATTTTTATAATCATGTTTGTATAGCCAGTAGAAAAAAGTAGTCTGAACATATGAAGAAGTATTTGAAAATTTAAGAAAATCTTATTTCTATAAAATTGTTACAGAACTTGAGCCAAATTCTTTCATGACCTACTTTACTCTTTTGTGATTGGAAAACCATGGAAAGTTGCATTTATTATATACTGTATCAGTTTGCTTTTGATCAAAATAAATTAGCACTCTTAAGGACTAGCATAAACTTTAGACAGCTTTTTTTCCAGAACTAGTAATTTGCATTCTATACAGTTACTCAACTGAGTGGCCACCATACCAACAGTGGAAAGCATGACTTCCCTTATATGCCTATTTAAATTTAAAAATTTTTTCTTTAAGGTCATTTATTAAGGATGAACAGATAAAACTTTAAGTAAGGAATAAAAACTTCATTGAAAGGCAAAGCATTAGAATTTTTAGCATTTAGAATAGTTTTTGGTTTTAACATTCAGAAATAATTTAAAATTCCTATAATCACGTTTTGTTCTAAATTGTGAGGTGGTTTACAGTTATAGTTGACTTGTGAAAATATGCAGAGGGGGAGGGTGTCAGCACCCCTAATCCCATGTTATTCAGGGTCAATTTGTATTTAAACCTGTATTTTAAAAAAACATATTAACCATTTATTTATTCATTCATTTCCTCATCAAATTCATTAAGTGTCTGCATTATATGTTTAGGCTCTGAGTATGGTGGCAAAGGTGCTTATATTTGTCAAATTGACAAAATAAAGAAGCAGGCTATGATAGACTGATGAGTGTATGGTAGACAAAATAATCTGGCAGTTGTTAGACTAGTGAAAGATAAACATAGTTACTAAGCATTTCTAAGTAAAGCTTGAAAGTCACTTGGGCTCTTCGTAAGAACCCCGTCAACAAATCTTTTTACTTATGTAGTTTTAATCTCATTTCTATTATTGAACTCTTAACACACCATTTACTCCGAAAGCAGGTGCAGTTACTATCCAGAGCAGGCCACAGAGCCATAGCAGTGGGGAATTTAGCTTGCTTCATGATCATGAGGCTTGGTCCAGCAGTGGTAGCAGTCCAGTCCAGTACTTGAAAAGACAGACCAGATCAAGTCCAGTGCTCCAGCACAAAATGCCTGAAACTGAGCGTCGAGCACATCACAAGGTCAAAACTGGTTCCCCTGGAAGTGAAGTTGTTACTCTACAACAGTTTTTGGAAGAAAGCAACAAGCTTACCTCAATACAGGTTAGTTTTATAGGTGACCTTAATTTAGATGGGCATTTCAAGTTAAATATCTGTGACTGAACTTTAGAGCTTTTTTGTTGTTGTTGTTAATGCCCGATGATATTTTTTCCATTGATTTTTAGGAAGAGTGGAAGGAGAGGGAAGGAGAGAAACATCTGTGTGAGAAAGACACATCAATTGGTTGCCTCCACATGTGCCCCCACAGTGGGGGGGGGGGCAGCTAGGGAACAAACCTGTACGAGACCTTGATTGGAATTGAACCCGAGACCCTTCAGTGCACAGGCTGATGCTCTACCACTGAGCCACACTGGCCAGGGTGAACCGAGCATTTTTTTTTTTTTTTAAGTAAAGGAGTGTTTAGAAATACTAACAGTTTTATATTATGCAGTCTAATATATCAGGAAAGTAAAAGCATGCCTGATATTCATTAATCTGCTTTGTTTTTTAACAGATAAAGTCCTCAAGTCAAGATAATCTTTTAGATGAAGTAATGAAAAGTTTGTCTGTCTCTTCTGACTTTTTGGGAAAAAGCAAACCCGTTAGCTGTGGTCTGGCCAGGTCAGTAAGTGGAAAAAGCCCAGGAGACTTCTACGATAGACGGACAACTAAGCCTGAACAATTTGTGAGACCTGGTCCTCAAAAGACTGAAGATACCTACTTTATTAGTTCTCCAGGAAAACCTACACCAGGCACTCAAGGAAAGATAAAATTAGTAAAAGAATCTTCTTTGTCACGACAATCAAAAGATAGTAATCCTTATGCCACTTTACCTCGTGCAAGTAGTGTGATCTCTACTGCAGAAGGGACTACTCGAAGGACAAGCATCCATGATTTTTTGACCAAGGACAGTAGACTACCTCTGTCAGTTGATCCATCACCAGCTGTTGCTGATAGCCACATCACTGCAGCATCTAGTGAGTACCGTTTACACCAGTGGTCTTACCATAAGCTTCACAGCCCAACATATTCTGCAGGTTCTCATGCACACATTGATTTAGTTACAGATGAGCCTGAGTCTCTATATGCCCAGGCTAGGAACTCAACAACAGAAAGGTCACATTTTCTAAACCAAACTTTTGCCACCATTAATATGTCTAATGACACACTTGTAATATCAGCTAAAGATAGTATAGAGTCATTTACTCATCCTTCTCAGCCATTTTTATCCCTGAATACAGAGTTAGTTAGTAACATAAGTGGGTTACCTCCCAGGCCAGTCACCAGAGTAACTGACCAGGCTTCTGCCTCCTTGGATAAAGCTTCGCAGAAAGATAATGAACAGTTTTCTGATAATCAGATCCGTGGTAACTATAACCCACAGTCTTCTGTAGGTAGCAGTAATCTTATCACTCCTGCATGCCTCTGTCCTGATGACACAGAAGCTGCATTGTTGGTTTCTGAGGATAATCAGACTGTTTGGTATGAATATGGTTGTGTATGATCAAAACTGCACAGTATAATCCTGATGTCATTTGATATGTACTGTGCTTCTCTAATCTGACTT